TTTGTGTACAATTCCCACGAAGTCGCAACCGCAGAAAACGAGGGGATGGTGGAACCTGTTTGACTTTTAAATGAAAAAAGGGTCAAAAATGAACAGAATATGTAGGTTAATTTATGATCTAACGGCTGGTGACTGTCAGCTGGTACTGTGCAAATAATCATTGTGTTATTGTATTCCAGTCGACTGTACGCTGTACATAGGTTTTCGAGTGAAAGATTGATTTTTAGCCCATTATCTGAACATTGATGACACTGCTCGTTGCAGCCTCTTGTTCTGAGGCCATGTTTTGAGGCCAACTGGTTTTAGATCCAGAGGGCCCAAGGTACGACCAGCATGGTCTGGTCTTATTTTTGGGGGGGTTGGTTGTGAGCAATCTAAACACTTGAAAGTGGACGCTTTCTCGAGATGGAAAATGCGCAACAAAACGACCCTGCGTGCAACGTCGAACTCACGAGGGGTCAGCGGTTTTGTAGTGATGTGCAAATCTGGAAACAAGTGCTCATATCAATCAACGTGTCAAACAGCTTTGCTGATGACAGTGAGATGGCCGTACGCTCCATCCAGCAGTATTCTACAAGTTGTTGTGTTTTATTTTGAATTGTGATAATTACGATGGGGTTTGGCTTAATTATGATTAAAATGCTGAATAGAAATGCATGTAAATGTTAACAAGAGGCATCATTTACCCGCCGTGATCAGAGCAAACGAATTGTGACATTATTCTTCAAACATAAAAAGTTGCTTTTCAAGAAAAGGTTTTCCAGCATCGACAGCTAAAGCTAACCGAGGCATTTACAGAGCAAACCGTTTGATCTTTAGATAATAACATACTGAGCAAATTTCTGGCTTTTAGTATAATGATACATACCGATCTCTGTGGTTTTAGTAAGCATTAAGGGTGACTCGATTAACTAGTTTTCATCGGTCAAAGATCTGTACTTGCCTGGAGAGGTTATTATTTAAATTAGACACTTCGTAAACAATAACTGGTAATTACAGAACACGACCAAGGCTTCATCAACAAGAATTTCTACGTGACAGATTTCAAATCTTTACATCTTCAATCCAGCGACAGATGCCGCATGAATATCATTAATCCCATCAATTAAAGTCAATCCCCAACGCCGTTCTTTGTCACCAGGAACTGATCACCACTAATACAATCCATAAGCTCACAGACTGCCTTCCTTTGGTTCAGATTCTGCTGACAACTTCCCCGATATCCGTCATGTGGTGCATGAGTAAATATCCTTCCGCTGCGTCTGCTGGTAATGTTCAACTTAACCTCAAATTGGTCGTACGGCCACTCCACTCTTAACAAGATGGACTGAACACATTCAGTAGCGTAGGGCAATACACTAAGCACCAAGCAGCACTACATCTAGGCCTATGTGTTTGTACTTGGTTGCGATTTTCATTTAGAATCGTGCTGTGTTCGTTTCAATGGCACAGACAAACTGAAGGCAACCACAAGGGATTCTACGCGCGGATATTTATGTTTCAACGCGATTTTAGTCACTGAGAAAAAGTTTTATCGCAGGAGTGCATTAAAGGTTACTGCCTTGGGATCTCCTCCAGAGCGGCGAACCACGACAATTACAGTGTCCAACAACAGTTTCATGACGGACCTTTTCTACACCCCTACGCAATCTCCAACTCAATGTACCTCCATGATACGCCAAATGGTTCACAAGGCTGTCACTCCGTTTCTCGTAAGAGCCACATCAAACCAACTCCGCCCCTATTACGGGCATTTTACAATAGCGCGCCTCCAAGAGTTTGCAACGCGTTGGCCAATCACAATACACAAAACCTATCGATCCAAAGCGCGTTTGGGAAGGGTCGACAAAAGTTGCGCGTTGGGATTGGCCAACGCGTTTCAAACTCTTGGGGGCGTACTGTTGTGTATCACCCGTATTGAAACTCTACAGAACAGACAAAAACAAGGCCACGTATACGCTGTCTCCGACATTCAAATTTGTTTCTTATACTTCCGCTGCGCGTAAGACAGTGTTCAGGTGCGTTTCTTGTGAGCAAAGACGCGATAGGCTTTCCGCACATTCATCTGAATTTTTTTCGTCGCGTCATCAGGGGCCTGGATACCAGACCCTATGATTCCGACTAGTCTCGTCGAATTAAGGGTCTGGTATCAACCAATGTCCACGTGACCAAAACCGGACAAATTCCTCCAGTTTCCGAAGAAGGCCAAAATATTCCGAGCTCGTCCCGTCCACATTCGGATAGCGTTGTTGATGTTCGGGTACAATGTTGTTCCCTTCCTACGCGGTTTTTTTTTCAGTTTCTTGAAAGTTTTTAAAGTGACCAACATTAACAGCCTGCATGTACATCTGCACATAGGATCCACCCAGGGCTTTCCTTGTGACCCTTGACATGTTGCGTCATAATCTATTTGTATCCGTGGGTGATACCTAACTTAAGATTTTGTCAAGAGTCGTCAATGAATCTTTGGTCAAGGAACCAGATACCAGACTAAGGCCTTTCGGTATTAGGACACACAGCGCCCTGCATCGTTGTTGAACCACTGGCATAATTCTATTGGCTACACTATAAAACTACTTACAGAAGGCAAACAACATTGATCCACGGACCGATGACAGGGCTTTTGTCTATTAAGCAATTAAAGAGCAAGCATCATTCTGGTATGAAAAAAAACCCGTCTCATTCAGTCACTTGATGCAAAGCCCGCCTGTATCATCATCACTGGGGTACCTGGCTAATACTAGTAAGGTCAGATACTTGAGTAAGTCACGGGACAGCCCACAGTTAATTAATATAGTAATGATTCTTTTGAAGCCGCTACAGCCAGACCGTCTTTCTAGTACTGAAATCAAGCATGCATTTGTATGGAAGACAGAAACTCGTGCCCAATCGGCAAAGCTTCGAGCTCCATGGAGGCCCTACAAACAGAAGCACGAGGTAAGATTTTAAAGGGAATCGCGAAAGACACCCGGAAGGACACAATTATGTTGTGGTGACATCTCAATTACACTTTGTGTCGGGCCCCTAATTGCGGAAATCCAAGCAGCCCGGCTGGCTGTAACAGCAGCCCGATACGCGCCTGTTGAAGTGGGGTAGGCCTCAAAGAAACCTCCTCCACGGGAGCCGGCCAGACGAACCGCTAGCGCGGTCACGTAATCAGCGGGCGCAAAATGGCCGTCAAGCGTGCTGCCACGTACCCACCAAAAGTGTTGATGTATATGATGTTGCAAGGAATGGGTAGATATGACGTGTAAAACACTAACAGTGTAAAGACACTCATGCATGTTTTTATTTAGTTTTACCCTTGGAAATAACCTCCACTGACGGTATTTATTTATTTCATTCAAAGAAGCAAAAGCAGGCCGATTCACCTCGAACTATTTCCTCAATACCGTGCGTTAATTACGCACGTCCGTGGTCGAATGGCTAAATGGAATTTTTGCGTCTTGGTGTTTCCTTTTATCTCTCTCGATCGGTTTGACACTTTTGTGACTAATTTTCAAAGTTATAACTGACTCTAAACTTCGCACCTTGCATTTTAGGTTAGAATTGCCCTCTGATATTTCTAAGGAGTACATCTAAATAAAATGAGGTTTTCAATGTTTTCGGAATAGTGCAAAGTGGCTCAAATAAGGAGAGAGAAAAATTGAAAAAAAAAACCCCAGAAAGTTACATATCATCCAACGATTTACCGTCAACACGGGAAAGTTGGGTAAAGATGGCATTTGTGTTATGATCTTGGCTCCCCAACACATTTCATGCGTCTCACATTTTTATCAAACCATGCGGAAGTGACATCTGAAAGGAGAAAGATGGTCGCCGTTCCCACTAATTGGGCCTATGGCACTGTGCCGTCACTTCAGCGGTCACGAGCTGTGTTGGATCTTAAGCGTTCGATCGTCACAGACAAAAAAGCCAGCTCGTTTCATTGCACACTTCCAAAATGTGTGCCTGAAAGTGACATCTGAGAAGCGGAAAAAAATGTGCCTCGAATTTAGTTCAAGTGCGTCCGCTGTAATTAGACCGAGTTGTGACATGAGCCACAGTATTCAATCTTAGACACGTTGCACACAATGCAAAATCCTGTTGAACGGGTGTCAGACATTGTAAAGGGGTCTGTATGATGCGTTTTTTTCTGGCACAAATTTTGAAGTAAACAAATTGAACACCCCATTAGAATGCGACGAATGTCTCAACAGCCCGATTAGCCGTGACCAAAGGACAGAGGAATGTTTACAGCAAATATTCACGGAAGACTAGTACTGTGGCATATGGGCATGAAGACACTTTTTTTATCCGAAGAAGATTTTTCTGGGGAAAGACTGCAGTTCTAATTTTCAGTCTGTTAGCAAGGAGTGAGCAACAAATACTAACACTGAACAAGATCGGTTCTGAAAGATTTTCCTGTTCACAAGACACCTAGGGCGTAATGCTCTGCTCGAATATGAAACATTCAATCAGTCTGACTGTTAATGGGTTTATATGTCATGGTGTTGGTATCGGGGAAATAAATTTGAGGCATGTTCAATGTTATACGGTCCCAACGGCATGTGCTACAGAGACTATAGCATAATTATTCTGATGATAGATAGAGCTACTGACTGGCCAACCAGCTGGCCTCAACAATGTTCTTTGTTGCAGAACAAACACAAAGACAAATGGATCATTTTACATGATTGAATGGTGAACAGCGTAGTAAAACCCTGGAATATTAACGAAACAATACAGTTGGCGCGGGAAAACTGCAATTAGATTTAAAGCGGAAATTGGGGGAAAGACAAATTTCAAGGTTTAGTTTCGTTATTAAGAGAAAACGCACTCGCGATTATATCCAACGTCAATGCAACTCAGACTTCTCTTAAGCTTGTGTTCAGAGTATATATTTGTTTCAGTTTGAAAAAAGTTACCTGAACTACTAAGTACAAACCAATGAAGCACACTTTGAGTACAAAGGAGGTTAAATTGTGAGTGTAATTAAATGACTATGTTGGTAGACTCACCGCTATGCTGAAGTTCCTCGTTTGCTGAGGTCGACTAGTAGTTTCTATGCGACTGCTTGGAGCGCTGTAGTGTGGAGATAGGAGGATGTGGAAACGCCTGCAGACAGTGAATAGTAATAATGTCCGGTATTAGCTTTGTGGAACTCAGCCTCAGTCAGCAGATCACAGGGATGACTGAGGGCCGATGAGAGAAGACTGCCTGGCCAGATCGTGTAGATGACAAGACTGCCACTGATGTGCGCGTTGTGTTGTTGCTGCGACTGAGTGCTGATGTCTGTGCGTGCGGTGGGGGCGCGTGGCTCAAAGAGAGTCAGGACACCAGACGGTGTCGACACGTGATGCGCGCGCCGGCTGTTGGGCGTCTGACGCAGAAAGTGAAATTAAGGCGCAATATCGATACGAGTGTCCGCGTTTGTCCCAGGGCACTGACCATGTGGAGATATGAAGCACGAGAATAGCAATGACAAGTGATGAACTCGTCGAGGTGGTGGGTCCACGAGCAATTACGCTGATTGACTGGGCCGATGTTGGCAAATTTCTGGAGGGTACCCGTGAACCGGTCTAACAGGATTCAGTCATGAACACGGCAGGCTAAAGACAGCCGTCTTCCTTGTCGCCAATTAGAGGCAAGAGGACCCACGTAGAGTGTCACAACTTAAAGTTTCTCAGTCAACAAATTATTCATCTCCCTATAGCTTCTCGAATCATAAAAGCAAATAGGTTAATAAAATGCAAGTAATCGCTAATAGTACTGGCTTTTATGTTGTTTGTTGAACTCTCTGCCTGAAAGTTCTTGTTCTCTCCGGCCTGCTTCATAATATGCCTATCCAAACTACGAAATGAATTCACGAAACACGACCCTATCCAAACAAGCGTCCACGGTAAACACTAGCCGACAATAGATGTTCATGTTCACTTGCGACTGAAGTACACGAGATAAGTGACGAGCTATCGCTTCGGTACATGTACATGTACACTATTTCACTCAGTCGTTCAGCATTCGTTCCCTGTCATGCTGCAACCGGAAGCTTGCAGGTGGAGTGTAAGACGGAGCTGGGAAACGCGGTGCTACATTAAAACTCCAGCAAATTATGCCTCAGTCACCCTGTCGCATTACGCAGAACGAGCTAGATCAAAACTGGTACAGATTACAGTCTGCTCACGATCCGCAACACTTTCATTCTCGAGTCAGCAACTGACCCTGTCTCGCGATGAATCCGGCACGGCTACACGGTTCTTTTGGTTTAGAGAGAGGCGCTAAAATGCTCGCAAGCAGCGCCACTTGTTTATTGCACTGTGTGTTTGACAGCGACTGGCGATCGCATCTGAGAGTCGGTCGGCTCGCAGTGACGGTTCAAATTGCCGGTGGGAGTTGAAGAAAGAAAGCAGCACGGAATTGCTGTAGCCTTACCTGAGCGATATACCCGTACGTCCACAAGCGATGTTGGGGCGCCGCCGCAAATGTTGCTTGCATGCCGCCGTATTACGGCGTGACAGCCTGGTTGCAAGACGCATGGTGACATCGAAACGTCAGTATTTGAAAAAGCAAACGTTTCCCATTCAAGCTTTTTATCTTTAAGTCGTCTAGCAACCATCCTTCCTCCCCCCCCAAGGGCTCTTAATTGTCTCATGGCTGGTTGCGTCCTGGAGTTTCAACAATTTCACAAACATTTAGACAATTAAACACTATGTTACACTGCGACAGAACAAACATAAACAGGATGTGCATTTTGAAAGGAATTAAAGATAGGGTTTTCTTGTATTTGTTTCTCCTATAGCTGAATTACGACTTGTTTGTCGTTTTTAAAACCTTGATATTGTTCGGTTAACAAATCTTCACCATTACAACACTTTAATTTCGTCTATACATGTATTTTGTAAGATACCTGGTTTTTTCACTTGTCTTCCCTTATGAAACTGTGAACTCAACGCGTTTGCAAACGGTATTTTTTCTCTTATTTGGAATTTCACAAGACGTTGTTTTCGTAAGTACATTTCGAAGCAAAAGGATTGTCTAAACATCCCGGGGACTGATCTCGTATCAGTGTTTTCACGTTCGATGAACACGTTCCCCTGCTGTGCCCGCCACCCCACGCAGAGTTTGACTTTTTCAAAAAGTCACTACCAAGAACTGTTCCTTATACCGATATACCCCGCGTGCTCACAGATTGGAGGTTGCTGATTCGATTCCAGGGCCAAGACACAGTGTGTGACCTTGAGCAGCAGGGAAGGTTATGTTTACCAATAACATATACATTGAGCCTCAGCATGTTGCTAGAAATCGAAGCTTTCCGAACGGGATTTGCTTAGCCTTGGAAACTTGTTGCATCGTGGGCCCACTATTTTCAGCACGAAGGTTTCAACTTAATGCTTGCAGGGGGCAATAGAATACAAATTAATCATTGTTTTAGTAACTTTTCAAGATGGGGGGCACAATCCCTAGGGGCGGTACTACCGAGCACTCAGAGTAGAGTCGTGACTGAAACAGGTTTGGACTGAGCTACGGCTGTGTCTATTGCCTGCGCAACACCCAAGTAACCACAACTTGGGAAAACAAAGACATAGACTGGCTCTGAATCGGAAGAGTCCCTACAATTCTAGCCGAGAAAATATGAAACTGGACAAAGCTCCAAAATCACATTGCACTCTTCTGCGTAAATGTGAAGATGGGATGACCGACGGAATGTTTCAACCTACCCCGTATCACGCAATGTCAAATTGGCCGGCACAGGATTTGATTGTGGCATCAAAGAATCAGTTTCTCGATTTTGATCTAGCCTTTGGCCTCCATTTTCAATCCAAAAGTGCACCGACAGGTTGCACATTGAATGATGAGCATGAAGTTAGCTCAGATATTCCATGTAGGCCTACTGAGAAAAACAAGTCCAAACAGCCGTTACAGATCCAAGGTCTAAATTCCTCACACACGTAGAGTTCCAAATCCTGGAAATTTATGCACCTTCGACGACTCGATTCCAGACAGAAATTTAAAGGCACGCATTTCGTCTTCGGCCCTAATTAAACACAAGCCAGCCATGCAAGGCATTGAGGTGGGCAAGTGCAGGCAATTATTATTCACAACTGAGACCAGGGTCTCGAGAGAAAAAAAAAAAGCATTGCAGGATGCGTGCTTCCTTTCGTATTTCACCAGTTATATATGGCATTTGCCCACAAGGAATCCGGCTTGCTACATTAGACTGGTTTCCGGCCCTGACCCTCTACGGGGTTCCAACGGCAAACAGCTGCCGCGGGCATGCTGTGCCCTGAGTAGCTGACAGTCAACAAAGTGATTGATGTTGAGACACATTGAAATAAAAATCGAACGGATTTTTGGGGTTAAATTGGATGCCTGTTATATATAATTGCCAACTCACGCGTAGGTCTCCATGAATACGGGCGATTCACAATAGTGCACCACCAAGAGTTTGCAACGCGTTGGCCAATAATAACGCGCGAAATTTGTCGACCCTTTCCAAACGTGCATTGGGTCGACAAATTTCGCGCATTGTGATTGGCCAACGCGTTGCAAACTCTTGGTGGCGCACTATTGTGAAACGGCCCTATTATCTACAATTTTTTACGGTAGGGAAAGCTGGTATTGGTACCACCAGCTGTACAGTAGTACTGAGTGATACAAGGCACATGCTAGTTTTAAAAGGAAACAATTTTCATGCACGATGAAAATGATGGAACCACGTTTTTAATGTTTAATTTGGTAAACATCTATCTCCTATAATATCATAAAATCTGCAATGCAAATATGGGACTACGCATATGATAAAATAAGCAAAATTCTAAATAATGGCACTTCTTCGCACCGTGGCAGATGCGCGCCACTGCTCAAAAGCATTCACTCGCGCGATATTGCAGGACACGCTCCAGCAAGCTTAATTTAGTCGACGAATTAAACAGCCAGTTTGTCAGTCCGAAGGTTGGCCCTTTTCTCCATCGCCATTTCTCCATGTGTCTCGGATTAAGTCGAATTCCGCTCCGTATGATTCGGCAAAACATTCTAACCACTCCGGTACTTTGCATGACCCCACAAATATTGATATACTGTCTGCCAAATGCACGCGCTGATGAGATTAAAATATCTCCGTTTCCTGTAAGACATCAACCTGCCCTTGACTGAGATAACAGTTGTTGGTGTGACAGCAAACTTTTTCCTCTGCTAACAATATGGTGTTCTCATTGGATGATATTTTGTCATCTAGAAGAGATAAATTGCACCCTTTTTAAACGAAGTCATGCACGTGGCTGTCCTGGACAGGTTCGTTATTTACTTTAAGCGAAGTGGCATGATACTGAGTTCAGAGAACGCATGCAACCATCGAAAGTCATGTTCCAAAACAATATCCTCGTTACGAATAGGCACAATCACAAACACGGGACGCGACATTTTCGCGCAAGGAACTTGGTTTTTCTCAAACGCTACAACTCGAGCTTGCATTCTTTGTTTCGTACTTCTGTCAGAAGCCATTTGGGTACATGTGCGCGGAGGTCGATACCAAACAGCCTTGCTAGAACATGTTTGGAATAATTTGTGACCAACTTTGAGAAACGCCACCCTACCTTGACGGACTCCGAGTTCTACGCATAGGGAATTCTTAAGTTTCATCACCGTCCTCGCTCCGGTACCGAGGCAGCAGATGCCGGCGGAGGATTACTGAATATGTCCACGTTAACTTACAACAAGTGCAAAATATATTGGCTGTTTTTATCGGACAAATAAATTGGCCATGCTGTTGCCATTACCGAGTGAAATGCACTCACCGGATACCTTCGATCGCCGCAAGGGGCTGGCTGGAGCGTTTCTAAACGAGCGTCACTGTCGATCGCCAACTCGTCACGTGCGTGTTTCGAGTGTCTGGCATCGATGACGATAAACACCAGAGATGCCTGCTAACGTCCCCAGGGGGAAACGGGAGGAGGGGCGAAACGGCATAACAAATCTGGTACAGATTCTGAGGTTGCTGAAATCAAGGTAATGGATGCAGTCCCTGGAAGGAGGTCGAGAGAGTGGACTAAGTGTACTCTCAGCAACATGCATAATTTCATCTATACGATACGAAACACGCAAGCGTATTACGCGGCATTTGGACAACTAATTCTCGTTTAAATGCGCACAAAACACAACTTTCTATCACTGTTGGGGTCAATGCTTCTCGGATGCGCAGTTAAGCCTCTTTTTGCGTCTAGACAACATAGGCTACACGTGTAATGTGCGACGGCTGCGCGTAACTGCACTGCAGAACAACGCATGCGTTGGTTGAATCTT